CCCTCCCCCATCCACCAAAACCCCCCCTGAAAAATAGAACTTAGGGTTTTAAAACAATCATTATTCAGGTAGACCCACTGCATAAGAGGCACTTTTTCTTCAAATGACTTGAACCTGTCCGCAAAACGAAAGGACATTCAAGGTTTGAACCCCAATTGGGTCCAAATTATTTTTCGCATCCTTCCAGGAGATATTTTCACTGAGCGTCGTAACCTGTTAGGAGACCTTGAGTGCTCTTCCCTTGAAACGACCCAAACAACATCCACTAAGGTTTTAGCTTGACCACCAATGGACAACGTAGAGTGCAAACACCCCTCCCCCCTCCCGTCCCTCTCTCTCTCTCTCTCTCTCTCTCTCTGTCTGTCTGTCTGTCTGTCTGTCTGTCTGTCTGTCTGTCTGTCTCTCTCTTCTTCTCCCCTGTAGCCTCTCGAATAGATCATCAAAGAGGAAGTGAAGCAACAATGGCAGAAACAACCTATGAACGATCACGTGGTCACCGTCGAAATCGTCTATACACCCTGGAGGCACCCATTGTCTTCTGACTATCTTTGAGAGGGAGGAACTGCAGCTGAGATGGGAAATGGATGCGGGGGAGGGGCGAACATACTATCAACGGAAAGGGGGGGGGGTTGTTTGGTGAAGGGGAGGAGGCAGAGTACAGAGCTCCTAAATTAAAGTAATTTTCTAGGGAATTAATGGTAATTGACGTTGATGGTTCTCGAGTTTCAGAGACAGGAAACAGGAGTAGTTGGGGAGGTAAAGTGGGGTACACAAACAATAGTCCGAATAGTTCAACTTTCAGTGCTGTGGGGACGTGGAATTAGGGTGGCCAAAGCACAATTGTGTATAATTGCATACATTTATAATTTAGGCTTTGACAATTGAAGCAGACTCGTACTACATTCTGTTTCCTTTCCTCTCTGTGTGCGGTCATCCTAGTTGCATTTCAAGTTTGATAGACAATACATAATAATATATACGTATGTGTTTGGAATGTTTTCTTAGCTTTCTCTTGCTACCGCCTAAATCAGGTCCTTGATATTTGAAGTCTCTAAAAGTTTAAAAACTTGCCTAAAAACTGCTGCATTATATGGAGGGACAAAAGTACTTCAAGATGATAAACTACTACTTACCCCTATTTTCAGTAGAGTGTGAGATCAATAAATACAGTTAAGGAATGCAGAAAGTGATAATGGTATATTGATATTTCAGTCACTTTTGTCTTGAAAAGAAAAGAATGCTAGTCGATCTCCTGTACGTGCCGATTCGCATGAATGCTTACATCAGCAGAATATTTCATCGCTTGCAACATAATGACCAGGCTATTTTGAGGACATACAGAACCATAAAGTGGTTTTCAACAACGCCATGTCTTCTTTCAATGGGCCGAAGGGGCGTTCAATACGTTTTTACCCTGGCTGTGAATGACATAAGCTAGAACGTTGGAATTTGACACTCACAATGCTACTTCTCTTTATAGTCAACCTGAAAATTGAGACAATTTTATTATTTTTGATTGAGCTTTAAAATTCCATGAGCGTAATAACACATCAGATGGGACACAAACCATTCCTCTCCTCACTGACGACATAGCTTGTTCTTCACTACGGAAACCTACAATGTCCTTTGAGACATTTTTTTCTGATTTGAGAAAATAAATGTCTGCGAAATGGAGCATTGTGCCACTGGAAACCCCCCCCCCCCGATTCCACGTATTATATACCTTCACTGTATACGGGCTCTCAAGTTAAAATCGCTTGTCGGACAAAAAAAAATCCTCACATACCGCTTTAGAAAGACAGAAATCAAACTCTGCAAGTTTCATTGTTTTATGACAATGTCTTCATATTAAGGGAAATATTATTTTGAACAATCTTTGTATACTTGTGCATGTAATATTATAGACAGGAGTGGCGAGGGTTTCTGGCACAGATATGATACTAATGTAAAATAATGCAAAATCAAGAGACGTTTGTCTTTGCAATACTATTATACAATAGAATCAGCATTACATTAATAAAGATAGCGTTTTTTACACGCAATTCCAGTACTTTGTCAGGCTTCTAGGAGTGAGATGATTTCAATTTTGTTCTTTGCAACGTTCTGTTTTGTAAAGTGCGTGCACCCCTAAAACTTCGCAGCCATCATTCGATAAGTGCAACTGAGACAAAGCAGAAGGCTCTTTATCGAGCAAAGATCAAGAAAAACAATTTAATAAAGTATGTGAAATGGCCCAACATGTCCCACCCTCAGGCATCGCTGGATTAGAAGTTGGGTCAGAAATAGGTCACGTCTCAATGAAATTGGATGCTTTACGTTTTCGGGCTGTAGTATAGAAGAGAAAGATAGACCACGCAGGAAAAAAAAAGCAGAGGACAATGAAATGGCTGAGTGAGGGGCAACGAGAGGTAGATTTGAATTAAGAGAGAGACAGAGAAAGAGAGAGAGAGAGAGAGAGAGAGA